TTATTTATAAAGATAGCGCCTATTTAAAAGTTTGATCTGACGTGTTCGGAGTTGTGAGGACCAGTCTTTCACCGGGTCTCAGCGCTCTGCACCCCGCCTGGAACAGCCTTTCCTCGGCTAGTGCGTCTGACGTGTGCCGCTGGCTCTGATGTCTCTAGTAGTGGTTAAACGAGGTATAATTCGTCTTGTGTATATCTAACGGGAGATCTTTGGTCTTATTAATCGTATCATTTGTTCCCTGGCAAATCGTTTTGGCTGAGGGCAAAGTGAAGTTTCATAACTTTATATTTTGGCTATTTTAACGTTGTATCCTGCTGTGTCTGAATGGTTTACTTTATTTCTTGTCTTGTATAACTTATTATACCTGTTAGGCTACTTATACTGTTACAATGTCTCTTACTGATCAATAAAACTGAAATTTAACAAAAATAGACAGGGTTGTGTCATTTTATTTTATATAGCCTATATTTTATATAGCCTTTTCATTACTATTTTATTTGCTGTATACTGTTTGTTTCTTTTATTGACTAAACTATTTACTATTACTCACTGTATTATATTTACTATTTGCACTGCATTGTAGTTGTACCATATCGTATTACCATAGATAAAGGATCCATCAGTTATCTTTGTTATTGCTAAAATCGGGTCAATCACAGAAAATGCTTTTTCCACAAAGCGGCCAATAGGGCATCTGTGTATTTATTATGTTTATGCTTTTGCACTTTCTTTTCTCTCGAGGCATCAACTACACATCTGACACGGGTAAATATCTTTTTTTACAGTCTATTGTATATAAAGAGTTCAGTCCGCCTATGGCCTTAACATTGGTCCCGCTTCGGATGCCACGATGCCATCAAGCGGTGTCTCTGGTCGTAATCAGTCCTTCACTGACCAATCAGCGGCCATTAGCAAAATGCTAGCGTGTTATGGGCAACAACAACTCAACCTGTAAGAAATCGAAAGGACATAAGCACTCGTTCATTCAACTTTCGACCTATAACCCATGTTGAACTTGCAGAACCTACATTCAAATCTGAGATTTCTCAATGACAATCGGGTAAAAGAGACAAATTTAGCCGTCTAGCCCCATTGACTCCCATTCATTTTGCACTCGGACGATCGCCCCCAGTGGAATTCTGGTGGAACTACAACCACAATTCGGTACAATAGGACTTAATAGGGAGTGGCCAGGCTTTCCGTAGACGGGCTTTGATTACCCCCTTGGCTCAGACCATAGACAGTATAAGAAGTGGACAGAGCCATCTCATTGGAACTCAGTTGAGACAGTTGAAGCCCATTTTTAGCGATTTTTGAGCACTTCCGTTCCTGACGCGCAGACTCAAACCGACTCAAACTAAGCTTGATGACGTGAGCAACCTGTCTGACAGACGTGAATCTTCTAGTAGCTGTGCGTGAAAATTGCCAACGTTAATCTTGCAGAGACGGGAAACTTGAGCAAAGAGTTCTTTGGCGTGAGTGAGCAGGAGTCAGTATTCCGTTGCTTTTATGGACTCATTATCTATGGGCTTCTCCCTTGACGGGACGTCCCCCCGATTACCTGCGAGCTTCTCCTGCTGTCTGTACGGTAATTTCTGTACAGCGCTACAGAGAGTCGAGTGGTTATGACGCAATCGTTAGCCTATTTTTACAATATCTGTTTCTGCGGGGCCATAATGTAACATAGAAGGTAATGGAGCTCTGTATACATTGTCGTGTTTCTTTAGAAATAAATAATGGACAAATGGAGTCTTTAAACGCCTCAGATGTAAAGTTATTCGCTGTCAATGTGACGCCAAAATGAATGGGAGTCAATGGGAATGCTAACGCAAGTGAAGTTCTGCTACAAGATGGCGGCACCCGGCCGGCTTCAACTTCCGGTCGATGGATTACCCCCTTGGCTCAGACACGAGCGCTTCCGCTGCAAGTGACGTCACTTGCAGTCGACACCTGCTCTCCGCTACCGGCTGTGGCGTCACTTGCAATCCCTTGTTCTCCGTGTTATTTCACAGAGTCGATTGATGCCAGATTTGAAGATAGCCAGCAAGTGGTGTTTGGATCAATCTAGTGCACTGCATGGTTCTGTTCATTTGCCCAAAGTAGTGTGTATGGAGGAACAAGACGTTGCGGAAGCCATTGAGAGATTAAATAAGGCTGAGTTTCCACAGGACAGAATCGATGCTCTGGAACCCTTTTGCTTCATCTTTACTGTAATGAATGACATGCAAATGTTTCTTGAACATGTAGTCGATGTCATGAAATTAAATGTAAACTGTCGAACTACACTAGAGCAAAGTGAATAATGTGCTAATGTGTTTTTTTTATATATGTTGTATATTGTCTATTTGTACCTTGTATTTGTCTGTTTTGCACATTAACTGTGTACTGTAAATTGACATTTACAATAAAAAAAAAAAAAATGCATCATCTTGATGTTTTTCATCTACAAACTGTTCCCACAAAGTTGGGAGCATGAAATTGTCCAAAATGTCTTGAAAATAATTAAAAATAATTAAATATATTATAATAGTAAAAATAATTTCTTTCTTTCTCATAACTGAGTTTTGATTTCTAAGTGATCAATTTATGTACAAGTGTTTTCCCACATGATTATTGGCTGTAGGTCATCAGTAAATGTGGTAATTTGGTAATGTGGCATTTAAATGCCAGTGTTTCCCAGATGAAACACAAGAGCTGTTAGTTTTGAATTATGTGTGTAATGTAGAGAAATGTGTTTAGAGTTTTGCAAATAGTTTGTTTTTCAAATGCAAACTGAGTGCAAAGCATATAATGTCCTTGTATTTTTGCAGGCTTGGTCTAAAGATTGGGTACATGAGTGAATGGTTTCACTGAGTGAGCCTCAAATTCCACTTGTAGTGTTTTAGCAATTTGAAAAAAACTGTCAACAAAATGACAAATGACACCTTAACACGACCAAAATGAGCGTGTCTACGCGTTCAAAAGAAACACGTAAAAAATTGTCGCGGACAAACACTGCGTGTTGACGCGGTCAAATTTCACGCGTTTCGTTTATCGCGTTCCGTAGAGAACAGGCGTCGATTGCAAGTGACGTCACTTGCAGAGGAAGCGCTCGTGTCTGAGCGTGCAAGTCCGAGAGTGCAAGTGACGTCACTTGTCTGCAGCCAGATGCTATTGGCATTTACGGCCAGCAAAGCAACGTAGTAAAATTCGAATAGTATTTTATTTTTCGAATAATAATTACAGATCGAATATTCGAAAATTCGAATATTCGTGCACATCCCTACGTAAAAGGCAGCTTTTGTTTCACGTCCTTTATTCAGTTTATTTTGAAGGACGCATCAAGTGCATCCTTTGCATCCTCCAATCACCCACAATCCTTTGCAAACATTCCTTGGCTTGTCCAATTTCATTATGGAATGCAAAAAAATTAATTAAAATAAATGATCAATCATTATGTTTTCTTTTGCTTTGTTGTAAATTAAATTAAAAATGGCCATGATGTAAACCACTGGGATATCACAGGTTGTCATTCACTGTATTCCCCAAGGGGAAGTGCTTAGGGAAGTTTGCGAATGTATGTCTAAAGTGGAGTTAAACGCAGCCCTGGAGTCCTGAATTATTTTTTTTCGCCTATTGTTTATCAGCCTTGGCCGATAAATCTTTATATTTGAAAGCTGATAACCGATATATTGGCTGATAAATCTAAATCCAAATTTTGATATAATTTTTGAGACCCTGATTACAAAAACAAAAGTGTCATCATTAAAAGCCAAGTGCCAAGCACTCTTCAACATAAATCAAACATTTACAGTACAGTAGCCTAGTTTGAACCATGCAAAGTAAGTTTTAAAATTAATTGTACACTCCTATTGCCTAACTTTCTTTATTTAAAAAATATTGCCTTAGAAATAAATTAAATTAATGCTTAAATAATGCAAAGTCCCACAGATAAATAAAATGGAATAGCATCTGCACGGACAATAATGAAATTATTTTAATTAAACCATTTTGTTGATGAAAATAGGTAATACAAGAAAAATAAAAGTGCTAGTTATTATTTATAAGGCATCAATGTTTTTAGTCTTTGGCAATGCAATATTACTTCCACATTGATTTCATATTACAAAAGAATAACAGCTTCATTAATTTTGCCATGTTGCTGGAGCACATTTATAAAAAGTTTAAACCACGTTTCAACGTTTCCTATCGATATATGGCCTTGAAAACACTGAAAAAATACTCACCCAACTAACTTCCTCAGACTGATGAACAACCAACCGCCCGCGGAGCATCCGTAGTGACGTCACAGCCCGAGCTGCCCAAAGAGCAAAATTAAAGTCCGACTTTTATTCAGCTGATAATATAGCCAAAATCGCAAAATGCATAAAAAATAATGATCTACAACTACAAGGGTACCAAAGGTCGCATGTTTTTGGTGAAACAAATATTTAACTATTCGAATATAGACCGTGACCAACAGCTACGACCTAAAAAACACATAGGCCTACTAGCCTACAAACATATTTGCATTTAATGAAAAATTATTTGATTTAATATTTTTTTTACCATTCATCTATTTAAATGTTTATTTGTATTAATTTGATCATTGCAATATCCCATCAACAAGAATAATGATAATACTAAAAAACCTGTCAGACTCTGCATTCGCTGAACGACTTCCAGTCGTAAGTACTGTAGTATTTACGAACTTTAAATCTGGCCATAAATCAGTCAAACATTAAGCTTATTTAAATGCCTGCAGTAACCATAAGATAACCACTTTTTATTGATATAATTTATAATAGTGCATACATAAATGTCAATGAATGGACAATAGGCCTATGTGTTATTCGACCGACACATAATTTGATGGCATCGCGATATAGCTGTTACGGTAATAAGTGCGTCACCAGTCTGACGTCAGTGTTGCCAAGTCCGTGGTTTTACTACGGAATGAATCACTGTTGCCGTGATTGGGAATCGGGATAGTTTTGCTTTTAGCAATTGGGCGGGTTTTGTTGTGCAGACCTGGCAACCCGCTGGCCATTCGTGCATGTATTTGTTTACTACTACAAATTCGCCGAAATAATGTACGCCTTTTGACAAACAACGAGCTTCGCCATTGTCAATTATGCTGTCCTATAATAAACCCTCCCTTTTAAACGTGTGCAGATGCTGTTTTACAGAGAAATTCTTGTCGAGAAGAGGACTGTCAACTACACAAAGTATTTTCTTGTTATTAAAAGTCATTATGTTTCTGCTGTACAAATTAATCATGTTTCAAATAGCAATGTCATTAGTGACAGTCGTCGTTATCTGGACATTTATAGAAACTATTGTGATTATTAATAACTGTTTCTACACTAGTCTTTATCTTCGAGTAAAAACATCATTAAAACGAGGTAAACCTACCGGAGAAGCAGCAAAACTGCTATTTTTTAAATGTGCACTGTGCACAGTATTGTAGGTGGTTGGTCTGTAATGCTGTTATTATTATTTATTTTTTTACCCAATCTTACAATAATAGCCTACTTTTCCTCAGATCTGTCAAGGACAAACCTTCCACATCAAAAGATTTTGACACATTTCCGTCATGCACAGAAGAATGCTGCATTTCTTTCACAATTAATTTATTGTCCGTGAGTATTGTTTTCTTTCTTTCTTTCTTTACAGAAATTTCTCAGTGAAAGTGAATTTTTGAAACATTTTGACCTGATAGAACTGCATGTGGGGGAACACGAGGGCTGTTCGGAGGAAGCCGTGACAATGTTCACCAGCAGACCCTGGAGGATATTGCAGAAAATATCAAAGAAAGCAAGTTCAAAAGAGTTGTGGTGATGGCAGGAGCGGGCATCAGCACTCCCAGTGGAATCCCAGACTTCAGGTAAAGTAGGACTCAAAAGACTGTTGTCCCCTAATTAGGGGTGTAATGGTACATGTAGTAAATCCAAACTGTCACGGTTCGGTGCATGTCAGACGACAAATAGAATCAGGCACAGGCAATCCACACTCCAATCCAGAAGGGGGCGCGCGCGGTAACGCAACGCTGTTTGCTAACCGCCACTACAGGAAAAAGAGCAGAAGACGAGACAAATGCACAAACTCAAAACGAGTTCCCCGCCCATGACATGCAAGAAAAAAAAGTAAATCGCGTGCATGATTTACTAATTTGTTCCCTCGATTTATAAATCGATTTATAAATCTTTTTCTCCTTCTCGCTCGACTTTGAAAAAGCGTAATATTGAACTTTGTGCATCCGCCATTGTCACCGCATGTTAATGAACTCTCACGCGCAAAGAAAACTAATCTCCGCACAAGTTTGATTTTGCATTATTTATTATTTATTTTGTACTTTTATATAACACAAGATGCTTTTTAGTTTTATAGCTGATTGTGATCAAAAACCAAATAGTCTTTTGCAAGAGTGTATTCTGTTTACTGTTCAGTGCTAAATACACTAAAGGATGCTGTACTGGACTAAATGCCACTAAGTGGAACAAACTGTAATTTGCACGACTGTCTGTTCAAAATAAATGAAAAGAAACCTAGCATTGGGGATCTGTTGCTTTTTCCTATTTTTTTTCCAGACTCAACCACTTTAAGAACACCTTTGTCCCTCTGTCATTAAAGGGTTAGTTTACCCCAAAATGAAAACTCTGTCAGTAATTACTCGCCCTCATGTTGTTCAACCCGTAAGACTTTCGTTCATCTTCGGGACACAAATTAATATATTTTTGATTAAATCTGAGAGCTGGATCACTCCTCCATAGGCTTCTAAGGGATCGAAACTGGCCGGCCCAGAAAAGTTATTAAAGACATCGTTAAATTGTCCGAGTGACTACAGTGGCTCAACCTTAAGTTTATCAAGCGACGAGAATACTTTTTGTGCGCAAAAAACAAACAAAAATAACGACTTTATTCAACTATTCTGTGGGCCTCGAGATTTCACGTAGTGTAACAGCGCAACGCTTCTGGGTTGTACGTCACACGCAGGCTCACTATTGGCCGACGCTGGTCATGTGTGTGACAGAATTTTCATTTTGGGGTGAACTATCCCTTTAAGGCATTAAATGGCAAGGTACCCATTTAGTTACCCAATTTTTGTTATTTTGTTATTATTTTTATTATAGTGATCACAGGTGGGTTGCACGATGGGCAGTGTGCAATTTAGTTGGTTTAGAACTTATGTATGTATTGAATATTGTGTGTGATATGTTGATAGGATGCTGTATGTATTGTATGTATGTCATTTGTATTTAAACAGCAGTGTTGTATTGTGTGTGTCCAAGACAAATTTCCTTCGGGACAATAAAGCCAATCTTATCTTATCTATTGCACTGAACTCATATCAAATGGTGACCCCAAAACCGAGATGCGTACCGAACCGTGACTTCTGTTTATCGTTACACCCCTAATCCACCTTTGAGATGGTTGCGACTTTTCTCTAATCGTGTTTCTCCCACAGATCGCCTGGCAGTGGTCTTTATGACAACCTTCAACAGTACAATCTGCCCTATGCAGAGGCCATATTTGAAATAAACTACTTCCGTCACAATCCAAACCCTTTTTTCGCTCTAGCCAAAGAGCTTTATCCCGGTAATTACCAACCCAATCTGACACACTACTTCATTCGCCTGCTTCACGATAAGGGGCAGCTGCTCAGGATGTACACGCAAAACATTGATGGACTGGAACGAAGTGAGTGACACCGTCCCGTCCACATGTGCATGCCTGGAATCGGTGTAAACCATTGATAAATTTTATTTACCTTTCATTGATTTCAGTGGCTGGCATTCCCCCACACATGTTGGTTGAGGCACATGGCACATTTGCCACGGCCACATGCACAGTTTGCCGAAGGGATTACAAGGGAGAGGAGCTCCGGGTAAGTATTTTTCGCTGAACTATGGCAGTGGTTTCTGAGGTATTAAAAGGGGTCAGTAGATAGTTATGCAAATGAAACCTCTTTCAGGTAGGGTGGCCATTTCCATAACACCAAAAATGAGGACACTGCGGCATTTAGTGAAGCAAGACTAATTGCATAGGACTCTGGTGTACTCGCAACTACAATACAATTGTGTCCATTATATCAATGGTATCATGATACAGTGATTCTGAAATACCCTAGGCTACTATTCATTGCCAGACAATTTGATCTATGATATATCTTGATGTAGACCTATGTGTAACAGAAGAGGCAAAAAAGTGTTTGCTCACAGTTTGTACTTATTCAAGACATTGTGATGTGTTTCAAAAACTGACCACTGAGATTAACCTGTCTTGCAAAGTGCACAGTGCCTGAAAACATAACATTTCTGGACTTCTGGAAATAACAGAAATACATAAATAAACATATAATCTGGCACAGTGCCTGAAAACATAACATTTCTGTACTTCTGGAAATAACAGAAATACATAAATAAACATATAATCTGGCACAGTGCCTGAAAACATAACATTTCTGGACTTATGAAAATAAAAGAAATACATAAATAAACATATAATCTAGCACTGTGCCTGAAAACATAACATTTCTGGACTTCTGGAAATAACAGAAATACATAAATAAACATATAATCTAGCACAGTGCCTGAAAACATAACATTTCTGGACTTCTGGAAATAAAAGAAATACATAAATAAACATATAATCTGGCACAGTGCCTGAAAACATAACATTTCTGTACTTCTGGAAATAACAGAAATACATAAATTAACATATAATCTGGCACAGTGCCTGAAAACATAACATTTCTGGACTTATGAAAATAAAAGAAATACATAAATAAACATATAATCTAGCACAGTGCCTGAAAACATAACATTTCTGGACTTCTGGAAATAACAGAAATACATAAATAAACATATAATCTGGCACAGTGCCTGAAAACATAACATTTCTGGACTTCTGGAAATAAAAGAAATACATAAATAAACATATAATCTGGCACTGTGCCTGAAAACATTACATTTCTGGACTTCTGGAAATAACAGAAATACATAAATAAACATATAATCTGGCACAGTGCCAGAAAACATAACATTTCTGGACTTATGGAAATAAAAGAAATACATAAATAAACATATAATCTGGCACAGTGCCTGAAAACATAACATTTCTGGACTTCTGGAAATAACATAAATACATAAATAAACATATAATCTGGCACAGTACCAGAAAACATAATATTTCTGGACTTATGGAAATAAAAAGAAATACATAAATAAACATATTACCTGGCACAGTGCCTGAAAACATAACATTTCTAGGCTTCTGGAAATAACAGAAATACATAAATAAACATATAATCTGGCACAGTGCCTGAAAACATAACATTTCTGGACTTATGAAAATAAAAGAAATACATAAATAAACATATAATCTAGCACTGTGCCTGAAAACATAACATTTCTGGACTTCTGGAAATAACAGAAATACATAAATAAACATATAATCTAGCACAGTGCCTGAAAACATAACATTTCTGGACTTCTGGAAATAACAGAAATACATAAATAAACATATAATCTGGCACAGTGCCTGAAAACATAACATTTCTGTACTTCTGGAAATAACAGAAATACATAAATAAACATATAATCTGGCACAGTGCCTGAAAACATAACATTTCTGGACTTATGAAAATAAAAGAAATACATAAATAAACATATAATCTAGCACAGTGCCTGAAAACATAACATTTCTGGACTTCTGGAAATAACAGAAATACATAAATAAACATATAATCTGGCACAGTGCCTGAAAACATAACATTTCTGGACTTCTGGAAATAAAAGAAATACATAAATAAACATATAATCTGGCACTGTGCCTGAAAACATTACATTTCTGGACTTCTGGAAATAACAGAAATACATAAATAAACATATAATCTGGCACAGTGCCAGAAAACATAAAATTTCTGGATTTATGGAAATAAAAGAAATACATAAATAAACATATAATCTGGCACAGTGCCTGAAAACATAACATTTCTGGACTTCTGGAAATAACATAAATACATAAATAAACATATAATCTGGCACAGTACCAGAAAACATAATATTTCTGGACTTATGGAAATAAAAAGAAATACATAAATAAACATATTACCTGGCACAGTGCCTGAAAACATAACATTTCTAGGCTTCTGGAAATAACAGAAATACATAAATAAACATATAATCTGGCACAGTGCCAGAAAACATAACATTTCTGGACTTATGGAAATAAAAGAAATACATAAATAAACATATAATCTGGCACAGTGCCTGAAAACATAACATCTCTGTACTTCTGGAAATAACAGAAATACATAAATAAACATATAATCTGGCACAGTGCCTGAAAACATAACATTTCTGGACTTCTGGAAATAACAGAAATACATAAATAAACATATAATCTGGCACAGTACCAGAAAACATAATATTTCTGGACTTATGGAAATAAAAGAAATACATAAATAAACATATAATCTGGCACAGTACCAGAAAACATAACATTTCTAGGCTTCTGGAAATAACAGAAATACATAAATAAACATTTAATCTGGCACAGTGCCAGAAAACATAACATTTCTGGACTTCTGGAAATAACAGAAATACATAAATAAACATATAATCTGGCACAGTGCCAGAAAACAACATTTCTGGACTTCTGGAAATAACAGAAATACATAAATAAACCTATAATCTGGCACAGTGCCAGAAAACATAACATTTCTGGACTTCTGGAAATAACAGAAATACATAAATAAACATATAATCTGGCACAGTGCCTGAAAACATAACATTTCTGTACTTCTGGAAATAACAGAAATACATAAATAAACATATAATCTGGCACAGTGCCAGAAAACATAACATTTCTGGACTTCTGGAAATAACAGAAATACATAAATAAACATATAATCTAGCACAGTGCCTGAAAACAACATTTCTGGACTTCTGGAAATAACAGAAATACATAAATAAACATATAATCTGGCACAGTGCCAGAAAACATAACATTTCTGGACTTCTGGAAATAACAGAAATACATAAATAAACATATAATCTAGCACAGTGCCTGAAAACAACATTTCTGGACTTATGGAAATAACAGAAATACATAAATAAACATATAATCTGGCACAGTGCCAGAAAACATAACATTTCCGGACTTCTGGAAATAACAGAAATACATAAATAAACATATAATCTGGCACAGTGCCAGAAAACATAATATTTCTGGACTTATGGAAATAAAATAAATACATAAATAAACATATAATCTGGCACAGTGCCTGAAAACATAACATTTCTGGACTTATGGAAATAAAAGAAATACATAAATAAACATATAATCTGGCACAGTGCCTGAAAACATAACATTTCTGGACTTCTGGAAATAACAGAAATACATAAATAAACATATAATCTAGCACAGTGCCAGAAAACATAACATTTCTGGACTTCTGGAAATAACAGAAATACATAAATAAACATATAATCTGGCACAGTGCCAGAAAACATAACATTTCTGGACTTCTGGAAATAACAGAAATACATAAATAAACATTTAATCTGGCACAGTGCCAGAAAACAACATTTCTGGACTTCTGGAAATAACAGAAATACATAAATAAACATATAATCTAGCACAGTGCCAGAAAACATAACATTTCTGGACTTATGGAAATAACAGAAATACATAAATAAACATATAATCTGGCACAGTGCCAGAAAACATAATATTTCTGGACTTATGGAAATAAAAGAAATACATAAATAAACATATAATCTGGCACAGTGCCAGAAAACAACATTTCTGGACTTCTGGAAATAACAGAAATACATAAATAAACATATAATCTGGCACAGTGCCTGAAAACATAACATTTCTGGACTTCTGGAAATAACAGAAATACATAAATAAACATATAATCTGGCACAGTGCCTGAAAACATAACATTTCTGGATTTATGAAAATAAAAGAAATACATAAATAAACATATAATCTGGCACAGTGCCTGAAAACATAACATTTCTGGACTTCTGGAAATAACAGAAATACATAAATAAACATATAATCTGGCACAGTGCCAGAAAACATAACATTTCTGGACTTATGAAAATAAAAGAAATACATAAATAAACATATAATCTGGCACAGTGCCTGAAAACATAACATTTCTGGACTTCTGGAAATAACAGAAATACATAAATAAACATATAATCTGGCACAGTGCCTGAAAACATAACATTTCTGGACTTATGAAAATAAAAGAAATACATAAATAAACATATAATCTGGCACAGTGCCTGAAAACATAACATTTCTGGACTTATGAAAATAAAAGAAATACATAAATAAACATATAATCTGGCACAGTGCCTGAAAACATAACATTTCTGGATTTCTGGAAATAACAGAAATACATAAATAAACATATAATCTGGCACAGTGCCTGAAAACATAACATTTCTGGACTTCTGGAAATAACAGAAATACATAAATAAACATATAATCTGGCACAGTGCCTGAAAACATAACATTTCTGGACTTATGAAAATAAAAGAAATACATAAATAAACATATAATCTGGCACAGTGCCTGAAAACATAACATTTCTGGACTTATGAAAATAAAAGAAATACATAAATAAACATATAATCTGGCACAGTGCCTGAAAACATAACATTTCTGGACTTCTGGAAATAACAGAAATACATAAATAAACATATAATCTGGCACAGTGCCAGAAAACATAACATTTCTGGACTTATGAAAATAAAAGAAATACATAAATAAACATATAATCTGGCACAGTGCCTGAAAACATAACATTTCTGGACTTATGAAAATAAAAGAAATACATAAATAAACATATAATCTAGCACAGTGCCTGAAAACATAACATTTCTGGACTTATGAAAATAAAAGAAATACATAAATAAACATATAATCTGGCACAGTGCCTGAAAACATAACATTTCTGGACTTCTGGAAATGAAAGAAATACATAAACAAATAATGAATGCGAAAAAGAAATAAATACATATTTCAGTTCTTAACAAAGAAGTTTCCCTTGACTACTAACGTCCACTTCACAGCGACACAGTGTGCAAAATCCATGAAAACCGTCTCTACTGCTTTTTGATATAAATTCGTGCTCTTTTGTCCATTCCGGATTAAATGAGGTCTGACGTTTCGGCATGTTAACGTTATGATATGACGGAGCCAGCACGCGGAGGCTTGATTACGTTTTTAAGCAATGATATATCAGATATTTATTTATTTATACGTATGGCCACCCTACTTTCAGGATGATAAAAGACTGCCAAATTGAAGATAAGTTTAAAGTATTTTTTATCTACATTGATCTATGGTATTGAATATTTTACCGCTGAAACTGCACTTTTTTAAACTAGATTAGTAAAGTTTGATGACTAACTTTGATGTTGACTCGACAAATCCTTGTCTGAAAGTTTGAAATAACTTTGAAAAGGTTGAAATTTTAAGATTTTGCTCAAAGAAGTCAATAAAATGTTATTAACATGTTCTAACACATTGCTTATATTTTAGAAAGTTGCGAGCATATTTGAACAGGTTACATTTTTTTAGCAAGTTGTTAACATGTTTTAGCATGATTTAGCACGTTTGCTAGCGGGTTTCTAACGTGATTAGCACATAGCTGGCATGTTTTAGCATAATTTAACACATTGCTAGCATGGTTTAACATTTTAGCATAATTTAGCATGTTGCTAGCATGTTTGTAGCATGATTTATCACATTGCTGTTTTACCATGTTGCTAACATGATTTGGCATGTTGTTTCAGCACATTGATAGAATGTTTTATCATGTTGTTAGCATGATTTAGCACATTGCTAACATGTTTAAGCAAGATTTGCCAGCATAATTTAACCTATTGTTGAAATTTTTTATCAAGTTGTTAGCATATTTAAATTTCCGAGGTGAGAATGTGTTGGGTTTCGTTTTTATATAGGCCATATTTATGGTACTTTTGAATGTTTTTACTTCTATTATGGTAACTTACACTGTCGTGTTAGCTGACACGTACCTTCATCTTGTATTATATTAGTCCTGCCGCGATTAGTCGACTTAGTCGCAAATTAGTCGACGCCAATTTTTTTAGTCGACGTGTCGTTTTACTATTGACCGCATATTTATTTTTGGTCTCCCGTCTCAAACGGCTCACTGTAATTCACCTCCACACACCAGTCTGTGCGCTGTGCGCGCCCTGCTGGTTAATCTGCTATCCTCTTCCTCCCCCCTCCCCCGCCTTCACTGCTTTGATATGAAAAATTGTGGAGGCAGGTGACGGTGCTTTCACACTGGGCTCGTTTGCTGCGGTCCGAGCCCGAGCGCGATTGTTCCCGGCGCCCCCGCAGCGTTGGTCTGGTTTCACACTCAACTTAATTCTACCGAACCCTGGTGTGTTTGCGCGTATCTTACGCCATCGCAAACGTGCACGGCGCATGATAGAAAACAGAACGCGGGTCAATATATATTTGAATTAATTCTGTGCTATGCGCAGCTGAGTGAACAACACAGGTGCGTGTGTCGCATAAGGTGGCATTCTGCTGCTTGCAAACGGACTCTTTTGAGGAGACTCTTTTTCCAAATTTGTTGCCCTGATTCCACGCGCTAAGCACGAATACACTGCAGACTCACTCTCGCTCGTATCCAAGGTAAATCATCAACACTATCATCCCTTACAAGTGTTTTGTTTAACTAAATACATAATCAGCTAAAACGCGCACCCGAGTCCGTGTTGCTTTCACACTCACGCGAACCGCGGCACGGGCCCGGCATGCACGCAAGTGTAAACGCAAGCGGCATAGCTGCGTGCCTGCCTGCTTTCAGCGCGATTCATTATAAGGCAGAGCTAATAGGCTAGTCCAGACTCTTTCAATTCAATTCCAATTTATTTCTATAGCGCTTTTCACAATACATATTGTTTTTTCAAAGCAGCTTTACTTAAAATGCATGCATTGCATTTACTTAAGCCTACACTTCAGAGTGATGTTATCAGTTATGCATTTCAGAAATGTACATATAAAAATGTACAGTATAAGCTAATGTATTAATTTAAGGCAGAACAAAGGGCTAATTTAAGTAATGAATACATGCATGTTTTTTAATAGAGGATTAGATTAGGACTCTGACTAATATGGTATAGCCTAATGGAAATGCAGATACTTATGCTTAGATTGTTAATACATAATGTTTTTCAACAGGTGACATTTTATATTTTCGCCCTTCAGTTGAGTTCAAAATAAAACGGACACAACGAAATGACAAACAATGTTTTTCTTTTTTAATTAGTCGTTTAGATTAGTCGACTAATCGAAAAATTAGTCGAAAGATTAGTCGTTAGAAAATTAGTCGTTAGTGGCAGCACTATATTATATTAGTTTAACAAAATCTTCTGCTATTCATACATGCGTCTAACTACAGTTGCAGACGCTTAGTCAACTTGCTCTCGAATGTTTACGGACCGGCTTTGACTGTTCCAATATGGCAGACGGCTAACGTATAGCGACCCATAGAAACAACCGCTAATGAGGAATCTATGTATATTATAAATATATATATATATGGTTTTAACATGTTGTTAGCATGATTTAACACTTTTCTAGCATGTTTTAGCATTATTTAGCACATTGCTAATATGTTTTTGCATGATGTTAGTATGTTTCAGCATATTGCTAGAATGATTTAGTACATTGCTAGCATGTTGGTAATGTGATTTAACACATTGCTAACACGTTTTAACATGTTGCTAGCAGCATGGATGGATGGATGGATGGGCTTGTCAAGCCAACATAATAAACCCATAATTGACCAACTCATTTAAAAACAAGCATGTCATAACCTAAATATTTTGCTGTGATTTGGAAATGTATTTTTGATTATGGTATGGTCGTGAAGCTACTCCTGACGTATGGTTGTCTCCCAATAGAATGATATCATGGAAGGAAAAATACCCAAATGCTCCACTTGTAAAGGAGTCATCAAGCCTGACATTGTGTTCTTCGGTGAGGAGCTTCCTCGGCCGTTCTTCAGTTACCTGAGAGACTTCCCAATAGCAGATCTACTCATAGTCATGGGGACATCTCTAGAGGTGAGGAGACCATATTTTACATATAAAATCAGTGTTTTATGTGTCTGTGGGGCATGTCTCGATCGTATGGAAGCCCATTTCTGCCACACGAGAACAAAATCATGCTCTGATAAATCATTATGATATAAAAAGTTGAAATTATGACATACTAAGTCACATTTATTAAACGAAAAGTCAATATTATTACATAGTGAGTCAAAATGATGACATATAGAGTCAAAGTTAAGTACTCAAATTCAATAAATAAAGTCCCCCTGTGGTAAAAATACAGCTTTTAATGTAGTTTATATGTCTATGTGGTGTTTTTAATATGCTTTAAGACAAACCATGTGTAAATTCATAAGTTGACAGCATTGCTGAGTATTTTCTCCTTAAAACTGCAGTGAACCAAAGACAATCTCAAAAAACACGGTTTGAAATCGCTGGTGTTTCTGACGTCACAAACGACCTTGTAACCAATCAGGTCAACGTGTGATCGTCAACCAGTGGATCTCTGAGCTGAGTGAGTGAGTGGAGGCGGGGCTCATTTGCATATTCATAAAACCGCGTTTACTAAATGAGGCAAGGGTGTCGGGTTACATTCAAGCTATTTTAAGCCACGAAGACATTTGTTTTCAAGGAAAAAACATTTAAATATGTAATTTTGATTAACAAAAATTCATTGACCTGATTGGTTACAAGGTCGTTTGTGAGGTCAGAAACACCGTGTTTTTGAGACTGTCTTTGGTTCACTGCAGTTTCAAGGAGAAAATACTCAGCAATGCTGTCGACTTATGAATTTACACATGGTTTGTCTTAAAGCATGTTAAAAACACCACATAGACAAATAAACAACATTAAAAGCTGGATTTTCACCACAGGAAACACATCACCAGCAGATGTCACTGTTGACTCATCTGGTTACTGCTTTTACACAGGCCTGTTCATGTGAATTGTTAGGTGGAGCCGTTCGCCAGCTTGGCCGGTGCCGTACGTGGTTCTGTGTCACGGCTTTTAATAAATCGAGACCTTGTGGGGCCGTTTTCTTGGGGGTCCCGTCACACTGATGTGGCTGAGCTGGGAGACGTAGTCAGTGGGGTAAAAAAACTGGTGGAGCTCCTTGGCTGGAAGCAGGAGTTAGAAACCCTAATGAATGCTGGCGGAGACGAGGTGAGTTATAATCAATCTCTATTCTTACATATATAAATCATATCAGTAGATGCATGCATTAGTCTGCTGTGCTCAGCTGAACATTCATGAAATTTTGTATTTTATAAGAGTTATGGAGGAATAAATGTTTTTTGCTCCTCTCGCTATCATCTTTCATACACTTTAACAATAAGGTTCATCGGTTTACATCCTTAGTTAACATGAACTAAGAATCAATAATACTTCTTCAGCATTTATTAATCTTAGTTAATGTTAATTTCAACATTTACTAATACGTTGTTAAAATCAAAGGTTGTGTTTGTTAACATTAGTTATTAATGCACTAACATGAACAGCTGTATTTTTATTAACTAACATTAACAAAGATGAAGGATCACAGTAACACTTTACAATAAGGTTCATTAGTTAACGAACCTTATTGTAAAGTGTTACCAATTATTCAAACACCAGATATATTTTTTTATATTTTTTTCTTCATACAGTGACTATACCAGTGAAATTTATAACAATTTGGGCCCTAAGATTATTCGGACGCTTTTTTTTTTTAAGTGTTTTGTCTTTAATTGCTAATGTGACCTTTTTACAGCTCAGATTGAACAGAATTAAGCATTGCTTGGTAATTGGTTGAACTAAATTGGTATTATCTAATTGTGTAGTTAACAGAAGGATGGACAAAACCAGTGAAATATCAACTGACAGTGGACAGTTCTTGACATATTTTATTACCATTTTCTAAACTATAGCGAATAAACTGTGATAATGTGAGAAATGTTGAAGGTGTCTGAATAAATTTTGGTTTGACTGTATATAATTTGCCAGAATGTTCCTTAATTTCAAAGTCCAATTGACAAAACAGCTTGAAGCGTAACTTGAATTGTTTCTTTCTTTGTGAGGAAACAGTTAATATACATTTTGAGCCCCGGGCATCTAAAGCTTTTTTCTGTCCTTCTCGATAGGCTTCAACAAACAAGGAGTGAACAACCAAATTTCATCTTGACACGGATCTGGAGACCCAGAATGGGATTGAATGTTCGTTGAGCTCTTTCTCAGTAGTGAGCAGACTTGGGAGTGAGTTTCATTTGTTGACAAGGTGTACTAATTAACCCGTAAATGCGTGAATGTTTTTATGAAGATATGTGTATCTAACATTCAGCATTTGGCTCATCGTTGTGTATCAGACATCGCCACCTTGAGGAATAAAGGTGAATTGCTCTTATTGAGTCTGAGATTCAATTATTGTTGCGCAAAAAAATATACATAAACTATTACATACCTCGGGCCATTAGCGGCACTTTTTTGTAGTTTTTTTTAACAAAAAATAAGGACACATACTTTCTTTTTTCTTTTTTATGTTCTTGTTATGTTGTTTATAATGAATTGATTGAGGAATACTATTGTAACGAATCACACAATAATAATATACATAAAATGTATTTAAGGGGGGCCGGAAGGCCAATTTAGCTCAAAAGGAATGATTCATCGATTTGCAATGAATCTTGACCGAATCACTATGGAACCGAGCAAATGACTCGTTTAGAGTTCATTTGAACGGGCCGTAATTATAACCTTGGCAACAGATATAAATATCCAATCTATAGTGAAACACTATGTATTAGCAAGGTAACTTTAGATCGACAGTACAAGACATTAAATGTGCAAGCACAACACAAGGCAAATATCTTTTCAAATATATTGACGACTTTATTAACTATTCTAAACACATAAAACTAAGGTCTGAACACAATCACACACACACATTCATACAAGGCGCAGCGGAAGAGAGAGAGAGAGTGAGTTTTCAGAGTGAGAGGCACTTTGTAAGACATGACCTGAACGAACCACCAAACATTAATTTAAACCTTCGTTTCTTAGACAGGTTATTCAATTTACATTAACGCACCAGTTCAGTTAGAGTCTGGAGTAGCTGCTACTTGCTTGTCTTTGCGTTGCTTAGGGAATTCCCTTTTTGCGGTGCTTCGTTGAAGGGGTTTCCCGGCCGGGTCCGTGTGGCTGGTTGTCTTGGAAGTGCCTGGATGGAAGTTTCTGAACAGCCGGTCACGTGTGATTGGCAGGCGAATAAGAGTCTTTACAGTTCGAAGCGCGTTGCAGGAGAGACGTTTAAACGAACTTCGCAGCAACTTAACTTTGAACCGAGACTTTTACGAAAAAAGAAAATAAAGGAAGAAATGAAAGTAAGACGAGATAGATGGCTTGAATGAGCTGTTTTAACCCCGATCTCGATGGGTTATTTGTCTGCTGGTCTAATTTGGTCTGGTCGATGTAGAAGCGTGCGAACACGCTCTTTGTTGTTTTCAGAGAGAAGCACGAACAGGAACACTCTCTTGCTGTTGCTAGAGAGAGGCGCAAACTTAATTCAACACCGAACCGAACTCAAAACCGAACGGCAACCCCGAACTGCTCTCCGAACCGAATTTCTTTCAACTAACTCCTTTGTTCGGGTCTTTAACTTAAAAGTTAGTCCAACCTCTTTTGGAGAATTCTGACCAATGAGACAATGGCATCATTTTAGGAGGTGGATCGAGTTCCTACTTATCGTTATCTGGGATCTGCTTGGGTTCCAGCACTTAGCAGAGAACAAGAGACCCCAGTTTAAACATTATAGATTATTATAATCATACAAAACATTTTACACAGATTTCAAACAAGCCACCTTTTGAATTAAGGGCATACGATTCTTTTGATTGGAAGCACGATACTCTTTCATCCATACACACAGTTATATCACAATTACATGATTTATATGTGATCTAAGCATAATACAAACATGAATTGTAGGAACAACAAGAATTATGATGTTTGATTAAGTCCACGGAGCATTGTTCTGCGTGAGTTTTAATGGGTTTGATATGTAAAGTCTGTGTAAGTCTCTCACGTTCCATGGAAGCGTGGTCTGTTTTACATCGCTATCCTGCTCAGCAGTGGTGATGCTGAGGGAGGTCAAAGGTGGTCAGGCCCCTTAATGGTCAGGCCTCGTCTCACCATTTCTGAGCAGCTTTGTCTTGCTTAAGATGAAACAGTGACAACGTTCTTCCTGTTTAGGCTTATCTCTGGGGGGTTTTCTAGACAATTTGGAGCCGTCTTTTGGCTTTGGAATGTGGTGTTCAGATCCGAAATGCTGAATCACATTTGAATGAATCCCATGAGAGATTAGAAAGATTAATTTGTGTTTGGTTCATCCTTAAAGTCTCTACACTATGGTTGATATCTAACTTTAGGAGTGTAGTGAATGACATCTCGGTCAATAAAGACCAGAAGTATGCGTTTATGGGTTAAGTACTTAGTACATACTCTACTCTACATACTGTAAGCAATGTAAAAATTCACAAGGACTGTTTAAAATTATAAATACAATAATAATGTATAGACACTAGTCAGGGCAGAAGCCGTATTGAATTTTACACGGGTTAATACAAGGCTGTAAAGGATAGACTAGTCTTTACAATAATACATACTGTATAAAGGTATCAAAACTGTTTTAAGGAGTTTTTGTCTGCTGAAAGTTTCATTGGAGAAATGTTTTGTCTGCTAAACAATTGGCATGTTGTACAAATCCATTGAACACACTGTACTTCTAACCCTCACAGCCTCGTTTGCATTCCTGTCAAAAATTATTTAATTAAAGATGCTATTAAAAAATCTATTTAAGGATCCTTCAAATTGAGCAACGTTTGATGACGTGGCAGTCTTGCGTTTGACAAACACCCACAGAAACCACAATTCGATTCGTCTTGCTGTATTTGTTCACCACTAGCGCATGCTGATGACGTTTTATTCTTCTATATTAACTTACGATTCAATAGGTGTCCTCATCGTACAGTCTACATACATGTCCTTCTAGTTTATTTGATCCATGTTGTAGCCTGTAGGCTACAGTGTGAATTGTAATGATCTTAAAGGATTGCTGAAATCACGCAGTCTGTGATTTTGGATACAGTCTTAAAAACATCCACTAAAAACCACTTTGATACCAGTTGTTAAACAGCTCTATCATCATTGGATTAAAGACACGCTTGGTTTGATATGTTCTCTTGTCTAATGTATTGTCATTCATACATTTAAGTGTCCACATACGTAGCCCTGTACATTTTCCAGTATTGTAACCATTCTTGATGTTGATTTACTTCATCTTAATATCACAGCTCACGTTACTGGCCCTGCCCACATTTAGATGCGTCACTTCTGCAGTAAAAAATAACAATACGCTGTCTAGGGTTTGACATGTGACGCCTTGCATGACAGTTTTGACAACGTTTGATTGAAGGCAATAGAAAAGCTCTGTGCTTGTCGCATTCATAAACGACCATGAATTGACACACAATGAGGAAAATAGTTGGAGGCTGATAATGACTTTGTGAGAAGCCGAGGACTCATTGTTTGTCTGTTTCGTCTGTTGAGAAGGTGAATTGCTCAGTTCATTGTGTCAATGTCTGAGAATGCCAAGTAAGTGACAATTAGACTACATCTAATTCAGTTCGGCCTGTTGCTCGGTACTATACAAGGTCTGAAGCAAAACAAAGCCCTCAATTATCTGACAACTCAAGATGGCAAGAAACAAAAATCCATGTTTCAGGAAGCAAATCATTTGACATGGTGGTAGTGAAGAGACCGGAGCAGAATAGTGATATAACAGGACCTCTAGAGGTTAAACAAAAGTCTATTTTGGATGCACTATGGGCACATATAAAATGCAGGTTGGCTGTCATGGAGGAAAGCCACGAGATTGCTGTGGCCCGAACAAAAGAGCTTAATAGCTTAGTGTTGAAGAATGGCCTTATTTTCCAAATGAAGCAGTACAGCCTGAATGACAATTGTCATAATGTGGTGCAAAACATGATTTTCCCACACACAAACTGTAGTAAAACTTTATAAATCGGGATCTTGAGTTGTCTACTGCATATCATTCTTTGGAGATTAAAAAAGTTTTACACTTAACATCTATTGGTTTCTAATTTGTCATCACCCTCCTGAAGTGCAGGTACACAGATGTTTTTCTAAAGGCACTGATAGCGGTGTGACGTCAATGAACAAAATCAGGCCACAATGAAGTTCGAGTTGGAGTTTGTTTTAGGAGTTCAAAGTAGCTTGCAAAACTTTTTAGAAAACTTCACTCCAACTGGCAAACAACTTCGAATTATGATTGGTCCATGGTGACGATGTAATAGGTGGGTGTGGCTCTGAGGCTCCGCCTCTTTTACATGTAAATCTTCTCTGATTCATTTATTCTGTTCAGTAGGTGGTGTTGGGGTGTTTGCTAACAGTAAACCGCTGGTTACATATTTTAAACTTTATTTTTCCACTAAGTGAAGAATGAAAAAGAACTTCCCAGTGAGTTTCGAGGCCGTAAGGGTCGTCTATTTAAGCAGATATATTCATCTGTATTCGTCATTCAAAAAGGGAAGCCGAAACTAAGACTGCAGGTTTACAAACCATAAACAAAGCACTTACTTACCGTTTTGAATATCAATCATGCTGATCATGTTCTTTATTCCACTCATGCTCATGTTATTATGAAAATATTTGCGCATTGGAATGCTTAGGTAAGTTCACGTAAAATTCTAACAGCCGTATTTCTGTGCCGTCATGAATTCTTGGCTCGCTTTCATCACTAACCATGTTTCCATTACCCTTCAAATTGCGCAAATTGAAAATACGCCCAATGGGCAAAAACTCCCATATATCGCAAAATATTTTTACGTTCGCATGAGGAGGTTTTTCAGGCAATTCGAAAAATTAATATTTCGCAAAACTGCAATGGAAACAGATTTTTCGCATTTACAGGTCACCTGACGTACGTTAAAGTCAATCTTAAAGATGACGCGGTGTGTTCGGACAGAAGATGAGACAGTTATTTATTAAACTCATAAAAAAAGGTATTACGGGAATACTGGATTCTAAACAACAAAGAAATGCCACAATTTATCAAGATCTTTGAAGCAGAAATGAGGGAGAAACACCCAGAAACACTCATATGAGCCGCTCACGAGTATATCAGGATTTCCTTGCCATTAATGCTTGAAAAACACGCCTAGGGCTCCTTCAAAAATACTGGTTAGTGCAGCGGCTGAGATGCACGTAAACCTACCAAAAATTGTTTTAGTCACATAAAATCAGTTAATGGAAACGCCGTCAATTCGCAATAGTTTTTTATCGGCATTTAGAAAATATCACAAAAGTTTTGCGCAAATCAGATATGGAAATGCGGCTAGTTTTGCTCTTATTCTCGTTCACTGACTCATTAATTAAACTGAACAGATAATCACAGTTCTCTCTCTCACCGACGGCCAGACGCCGATTCTACATGTTGAATCGGCCCCCAAAAAAACCGACAGCATCCGACTAGAGCCAACGGTGCAGAACACACTGAAAATACGAAGTCGGTTTTACCCCCTTTTTTTATTTATTTTTTTATAACAAAACATAAAATTTAAATTCCTATTTGATTTTATTTGTTCTTTTTTTTTGTGTGTGTGTGTGTGTGTGTGTATGTGTGCATATAATTATGTTTGTCTTTTTTATTTTCATAATCTGAATTAATGTATGTTACATCACGAGTGTATATGTATCTATATTACTTACACTATATTACATGTTATTGTTACTCTCTGTCAGACCCAAGATGAAGCTAATAAAAAAATAAAAATACGAAGTCGGCCGACGCTCAAAAACGGTCCGACGTTGCTCGACCATCGGCTTGGTGTGTCCCTTATGGCACAATATTAACTCCATAGTCCCTGGCTTAACAGTTTGGCAGATTCGGCATGTTGAATCAGCATCAGTGAGAGAGAGGACTCTGATTGGCTGTTCAGTTTAGCGAACAGTGCATGAGAATAAAAGCGAAAGTGATAACAGCGAGCAAAGGAGTCGAGACGGCACAGACAGAAGGCTGTTCTAACTTCAAGTCATCTTACCTGAGCATTCAAATGTATAATATTGTAATGCATGAGCCGTCTGGATGAATAAACTGATTGATTTTCAAAATGGTAAGCAAGAGCTGCTTTGTTTACGGTTTGAATATCTGCAGTCCTAGTTTCGGTGTTCCTTTTTGAATGACGAATATAGACTATTGATACCTGCTGATAAACAGTTATTTTCCTTACATCAGGAGCAGAACGCATGTGCTAGTTGGCTGTAGTCTTTGCGGTGTGTTCAGGCAAAAAATGGTCGCTTTTTTGGCCAAAACACAGCCGACGCGAGGCGACAACACACTCAGCTATTGTCGCCACTAGTTCTTCGACATCCGCTTGGTGTGTCACGGCCTTAAAGAACCCTAGAACTTAGAAAGTTTCTACAATGGCATTACAGCAAATTAAGGAACTTATAAACGTTCTCATTTGGCATCATGCTTAAAGGACAAGTTCACCCAAAAATGAAAATGATGTCATTAATGATGTCTTTCTGGACAAGGACAGTATACCGTACATACATTTTCAATGGAGGGACAGAAAGCTCTCAGACTAAATCTAAAATATCTTAAACTGTGTTCTGAAGATGAACGGAGGTCTTACGGGCTTGGGACGACATGAGGGAGAGTCATTAATGACATCATTTTCATTTTTGGGTGAACTTGTCCTTTAAGCTTTTTGGAAGCTTTATTTTAAAAGTAAAGACCATAGACTGGTTTTGGTTGGGAAGGAGAGCTCCATGATGGATAGACACTCAGCTAATCTCAAGTTTTCTGTCTAATCTTTACATGTACATTTACACAATAAAAGTACATTTTTTTTGGAAGATACATGTCAACAGGGCTGGATAGTTGGAAAGGACAAAGATCTTGGTGATTCTTAATTCTCTAAGAAATGCCAGCGTCAGGCATACTGGAGAAGAAACACTTGATCATGCAGACATTTTATTTATAATTCAGTAAGAGAGGGGAAAAAAGAGAGACAAGTGGGAATTCTGCCCAGGTGTCTGATCCTTCACTGCGCACAGATGATGAGCTCAAAGAATATAAGGCTATGGTAAAATCCTTAGGGCTTTTCTGGAACTTCATTAGACACTTTCTCATGATGTTGTTGAACCTTCACAGAGAAGCTTTAACCAGTTTCAATCCCCCGTCTAGTGGTTTTATCACACATTTCTGTTTATAGTAGTTTTCAGCTCCATGTTCAAAAGAATGAAATCCAAACTCAAAGCTCTACGGTATCAAAATATGCAGTGCCAAATGAGGGCTTGTACATTGGGGTCTTTTAATTTAAAATCTTTCTTCTGGGCAATAACACCTCACAGATCTAAAATATGCAATGCATTATATATTTTATACCATTAATCTTAGCTTAATTCAGACTGAAGCATATTTGAACACAATATGGCACATTATAAAATGATGCAGAAATGTTCCAGGCACCACTTGTTGTATTGAAAATAAGTCCACTATATATAAAATATGGATGTAGTACATGGTAGGCACAAAGAAAGTACTGGCAGAACGAAATAAAACAATTCCACTCAAGAACAGATGTCGATGGCATTGTCATGTCTTATGGAGCGCTTGGTGGATGTCAATAGCAGCGTGGGAGAAATCCTCGGAAGAACTTCCTGAATTCGGTGTTGAAGACCGTGTAGATGATTGGGTTAAGAGCACTGTTGACGTAACCCAGCCACGTCACGGTGCTCATCAGCTCTGGAGAGATGTGACACGACTCGCACCGGGCTCGGGTCGTGTGAACTACGAAGAACGGTGTCCAGCAGAAGAGGAAGACACCTGCAGGTGGAGATCACACATCACATAAGGGTTATTATCTTTAACTTAAGACTAAAACTACGAGAAACATTTCTGCTAATTGAAATTAAGCTGAAATAAAAATAAAGTATAAACCTGTTAACCGTCACCCCGCTTTTTGAGCATAGATGTGAAAATGCACTAGCCAAAGGTTGGTCTCTTTTGACAGAAAGAATTAGAAATTTACTGTAAAGCAAATCCAGTGTACTAAACATTTTTTAAAAAATACAATATATATTTTATAAAATAATGAAGACTCTAAAATTGCTATAAAATTAAAGCCACATGTCTAACCAAATTGTGTTCCAAATTTGAAGTCGATATCACAAAAACTGAAGCTACTATGAGATTTTGTTTAGGCGCTGTATCAAAAATATTCACATTTACTGTCACAAATTAATACATTTCTGTCACAACCTCACTTTTATGACAAAACAGTCGCCAAATATGGAACCGTGAGTTTCAGACCTTTCCGACAATATGTGTTTTGTTTGGATTATAAAATAGTGTAGTAAATTTAGTAATATCAAACATGACTCCACCCACCAGGGGGAGGAGCTCACTAAAATGATTTAAAGTAGGGGAGAGTGGGGTAAGATGAGCCTTTTTTTTTTTTTTTTACCAATGTGGTCCTCGAGATAAGAGAAAATTAGGCAGAAGTACAATGAGGGTATCTAAAGAAATTTCAGAATGTTTCCTATTATTTTTTAAACGATCAGATTACATCTATGACAAAGGGTTCTAAAAATATGGCTTCCTAAAAAAAAAAGTGTTCATGTTGCTCAATTTACCCCAGGTTAGGGGTAAGTTGCACCATCTGGGTGTAAACTGATCTAACTGAATCTGAATCAAACACGTGAAATTGAAATAAAAAGAAATGAAACCTGAAAAAATGTATAATGAAAAAAACACATAACGAAATTACAAAAAATTTAACTATAATAAAAGTTAATTCATAATAATAAAACTAAAATAAAACTGCATCACATATTTATCAACAGTCGAATTAAGGCACAAGATGTTTGGTGCATTACATAAAGTGTATAAAAAATATATGTTACGAATATTGTAAAATGTAACTTGTAGTTACTATACACACAAAAAAAGTTATTAGTGAAAATTGTTTCAATGTAAATCCTAGACCATTTTTTTTCAGTGTAGCAATAACTATAAATTGTGCATAATTACATACAACTAACCCTAAACTACACCCCATAACCCTATAGTAAGTACATGTAGTTCATTATTATTACTCAGTACTGTATAATTACACTGTAATACGGACACCTTAAAATAAAGTGTTGCACATTTCTTTTTTTAAACCCACTGGAATGCCTATTGTCCATTACTGTAAATGTGTTAGACGACAACATGCCATTATGAACGTTGTGGACAGAGTCCTGCTTCTTTTCTGATAAAGCAAGAAAAATGAGCAGCCAGGGCTCATAATATTCAAGAATGACTTTAAGAGCTCTGGAAAGCTTAGGATAACCCAGAAACCTGCAAAATCACGCTCAATAATTCTGCATTATGCAATGCTGACATAAGAATCTCTTGCGCAAGCGACCAAACTAAGTCAAATGTTATGAAGAACGCGGGAAAAAAGCTGCACATATAAATCAACCTTATGTATGTTGTGGATATTAATGTGCTCCTCCAGTATCCTCTGCTCTGCTGAATTATTCAAGTATATTAATGGTATTTCTATAAATACCCAGTAATGGAGTTAAAATAAGTTTCAGATCATCAGCATAACTGCATGTTTCTGTGATGCAAGAAATGTTTACATCTTTGGAAAAGTTATCACTTCCCCCAACCTTCGAATCCTCACGAGGAAGTGAAAACCTACACATTCCTCTACTGTACACGGGAAATATGTTATCGTTACTTTAAGGAGTAATTTCTGACCTGTTGATGTAACCAGTAATCAGGTCATATTCAGTCATATTAACTCTTTCCCTGCAAGTGTTTTTTTTTTTTTTTTGAAAAGTTGAGAAAATTTTGTGTTTTTAAAAAGACTACATGTGTATCAGCAATGCTTTTATCGCTTATTTCTGCTTGTTTTTTGTACCGTATAACATTGAACCATTCCAACATTCCATAACATTCCAACATTCCATAACATTGAACCATTCCATAACATTCCAACATTCCATAACATTCCAACATTCGAAATTGGGCTTGAAACTGTTCAATAGGATTTTACCACATAAAGCACATTTTAGGTTACCTGACAAACTTTTTTTTTGTTTGTTTTTTTTACATGGTCTGAATATGATATATATTGTCTGATGACTAACAGAACACAACAAACATTTCAGGGTGTCCTAAAAATATAGCGGGGTAAGCTGTGCCACTTTTTATTTAAAGAGATAGTTCCCCCAAAATTGAAAACTCCATCATTATGTACTCACGTTTATGTCATTCCAAACTTGTTTGACTTTCTTTCTTCTGTGGAACACAAAAGAAGAATGTCTGGGTTTTTTAAAAGTAAATAGGGTCCAATGTTGGCTAACATTCATCAAAATAAGTTCTGCAGAACTGAAAAAGAAATCATATGGGTTTGGAGTAAATCATGACAGAATTTTCATTTTTGAGTAAAGTATCAATTTAGGTTTCATTCTAATCAAGTAAAAATTAGGTCAACTAAGTTAAATTATATTTCAAGGATGTCTGCTATGAACAAAGAATATAATAGCCTATATGTAATATAATATAATATAATAATATATGGAAATAGAAATATACTTATCCCTTGATAGGAATCAGCTGTGGTTTAATGTTCAGAATAGAGTGCAACAGTCAAGTTCCAGAAGTAAAAACTCAATTTATTTTCTCCATAGGGAAATAGATTTTTAACATTAACTTATGAACCTTTAAAGACAGCCTTACTGTGAGCTACGAAGTTGTTAATCAATGGTATTTTCTTCTGTTGATGCCGTCAGCCCGCATTATTTCAACTTATTCTTAAAATAATTGTTTAAAAGTGGAATTTGTGGTAAAAAACTACATTACCCATGATGCTGTACAGAAAATTCCACCAATCAGAGATGAAACAGGCAAAACATCAAAAGAGCTCTTTAGCTCCGCCCACTCCCATGAAGCACTGCGAATGACAATCTTTTTAAGCTCTTAAAATACGTAAATATTTGTATACGAGTCAAAATCTGCTACGGGGTAATAATGGACCAGCAGTTTTATTTTTTACTATTATTTCCAATAGGATCTGCATTTTTATGGGTTTCAAAATAAACATGATTTCCAAAAGTCAACAAATTTGCGACAGCTGAATGTAACATTTTTGACAAGCCAAACATGTCAGTCTCTGAATCTTCCAGAAACAACGGCACTAATGCACTCATATATTCAGAATATGTGATATAGTGAACAAATTTTCAACAACAACAATAATTATAATAATAATAATAATAATAATAATAATGATGAAAGATTTGTAAAATGCAACTCTAGTCTTTGCTGAATGTCTCTGTGTTAATGAATGGTGTCCCAGAAATGAGGTCAAAGCACCAGGTGAACCATGGCATTTGTCTGTAGTTGGATTTATCTGTGCGGTCCAGGGAAATTCAACTTCTGTGGCAATTTAATGCAAAGCTTAGACGTTTATAATTACATCCACAAACTAATTAGGCTGCTTTGTTGATAAAACCTCAAAAGTTGTCTTCTTTCTTTCTGCTCCCATCCAAGCGGCAACCTTCCAGTCTTTCTCTTGAATCCAACACGGAAGTGACTTCATCGACTGGCCACTAGAGACAGGCTCCAATAGAGAGTCAATCCCATAAACCCCCATGTTAAAATACCCAACTTTACAGCAGAAATACATGTTTTGCCTGGTACAAAAAGTGGTTTTGGTCTATATAGCTAATTTCGCCCTTCATGACAAGTGTGAGTTTAAAAAATTTTTTTTCATCTGTTTAAATTATATTAAGCCTTAAAGTTCTGCATAATTAAGGGCGTGGCCATTTGAGTGACAGGTGGATTGGCGCTGCTGTCCCTTCTAGCCGTTTGTCTGCTGTCTGTTAGCATCACGTCACCTCAGCTAATCCGCCTCTTTGCCCATTTTCGGTTATCCGGGAGTGGTATCACTTTTTGCACCAGGCTGTAAACACATTTTTTTCTGCCCTAAAGTTGGCCAAATTAACATGGGGGTCTATGGGATTGACTCTCTTTTGGAGCCTGCCTCTAATGGCCAGTCGATGAATTTCAGTTTAAGTCACTTCCGTGTTGGTTTCAAGAGAAAGACTGGAAGGTTGCCGCTTGGATGTGAGCAGAATAAAAGAAGACTTTAAAATACAACTTTTGAGCTTTTATCAGCAAAGCAGCCTAATTAGTTTGTGGATGTAATTATAAACGTCTAAGCTTTGCATGAAATTGCCACAGAAGTTGAATTTCCTTGCTTGAAGTTGCTAACAGACAGCAGACAAACTGCTAATAGTGACAGCAGCGCCAATCCACCTGTCACTCAAATGGCCACGCCCTTAATTATGCAGAACTTTAAGGCTTAATATAATTTAAACGGATGAGTTATAAAAAAATTCACCCCCTCACAGTCGTCATGAAGGGCAAAATTAGCTATATAGACCAAAACCACTTTTTGTACCAGGCGAAACATGTATTTCTGCTGTAAAGTTGGGTATTTTAACATGGGGTTCTTGAGTCTCTTTTAGAGCCCGTCTCTAGTGGCCAGTCGATGAATTGCAGTTTAATTCACTTCCATGTTGGATTCAAGAGAGAGATAGGAAGGTTGCCGTTTGTCTTCTGTCTGTTAGCGTCACATCACCTCAGCTAATCCGCCTCTTTGCCCATTTTCGTTTATCCGGGAGTTGTTTATCCGCGCTGCCAAGATGGCGATAACCGGCTCCGGCCACTTTAGGATTCAAAAACGCTCTTCAGAAACCTACAGGTGACGTCCATATTTTTTTACAGTCTATGCTCACATGGCATGAATTATACAGTATAAGTACTTTCAACTTCATCAGGACAGACAAACAAACACTCACAGAAGTATTATTTCAACACTTACCCACAACAACAGGTAAAACCCTCATGGCTTTTCTCTCCCTTCCATTGATTTTAGCCCTTTTCTTTCGCTGAGTTGGCTGGCCGTGTTTAATGCCAGTGTAGGCCACGGTTTGAATGGGGCTGTTTATATACTCCGGTGGGAAAGGGCAAACGGGCGGTTTGAAGTCATCAAGCTCCTCAAGACTGGACTGGGCCAGATCTCTCTCAATGACCCGGGGCAGAGACACGGTTAGAGATCCCAATGGTGGGAGAGCGGCAGCAACCGCTGCATGCTGTAAACTACGGCAAGCATGAATACTGTTCCTCAGTTTGGCTTTACGTGCTTCTTCCCACTTGCGCAAACCATGGAAGATCCCAAAATACAGTAGGAGCATGATAGGGCACGGGATGAAAAAGGAGCAGACAGACGAATATACCACGTAATTGTCGTCTTCCAGTTTGCATTCTCTGGGATCTCTTTGAGGAACATTGTTTATCCCGAAGATGACGGGAGAAGCCACAGCCAGCGCCAAGAGCCACGTCGCAGAGAGCAAGACCATTTGCCGATAGTCGACGTGCTTTCTGTTGTAGTTAAGCGGTATAGACACGGCTATAAACCTGTTAAAATGATGCGTATTCAACTTTACCATCTGGATGTAAAGATATTAAAGATGTAAAATAAATAAAGACTTCTAAGGGGCTGTTTACACGACACCGTTTTCAACTAAAAACGTAAGACTTTTTATGCGTTTTGCCAGTTCGTTTACACGACAGCGGCGTTTTGGGTGCCTGAAAACGCAAAGTTTTGAAAACGGGTTTCATGGGGATTGTTTTGACAATGTAGGCGAAAACTCAAAGGAAAAACGTCTCCGTTTTAAGCATATCGTTGTCGTGTAAACGTACCCTAAGAGCCATAATCACAACAAAGATAAAAGCTGTAGTCAGTGGCTCTCAGCTGGTTTTGCTTAAAGACCCACACTCTAAAAATAACGTATAATAAAAATATGCAGCCGTTCATTTGCATCAATCTTTTTGAGTCATGACAGCTTTGAATGAAATTATGTACTTCAAACAACAAACTACATTGAGCTAGAGGAACTTAATCATTTGTGACATAAACACAATTTTTTAAGTTGATTACTCAAAGAAATAAGTCACACCAACTACTTGAGTTGTAGCACTGGAGCCAATTTTATGTATTTCAGTTCAAATCCACAGCTATCATAGTAAAATGTAAGATATTACTTGTCAACTGGAATTAGCTCAGTCATTGCTTATGGAGTCAATGTTTATCTTCATGTAGTCACACTTTTAAGGGTGTGTTCACACTTGCATGTTTGGCTGGATTGAAACAAACTCTGGTGCGATTGCTCTTTTAGTGCGGTTCATTTGAATAAGTGTGACGCTGCCATCTGAACCAAACAAGCGGACCGAGACTCTGAAAAGATGGGTCTTGCTTCACTTCCAAACAAACTCTGGTGCGGTTCGACTGAGATATGAACGCAACTGGGAGCAAAGACATCTAAACTAACCAAAAACAGGATGTGATGTCACAAGATGCAAGCGTAAAAGGATGGAGGGATCCCTGCCGCTGTTTTGACTCTGTTACACATTTCATAAGCTCTTCACGTTTTTAAAATATGCTTCACGAGTTCTCATCTAGTCAAAATACCATCATATGTACACACATACGCTTTTAGTCCAGCACACAACATTGGTTTGGATGTTTGTTTTTGCAAAATATGTGCCATAAAAGCCATTTAGTTTTTTTTTTATCTTTAGGTTCGGTGTTAAAAATGACCAAACCAGGAGTAAATGTATTATTATCTTTTTTAGGTCCGGACCAAAAGAACCAACCAAACTATATGTGTGAACACACCCTTAATGTCAAACATAACAGCATTAGGTCTTTCCCCTCACTAAAAACAAATAAAATGACACTTAATTTCAACATTTATTCTCACTACTCAGTCCAATGCAAAGCATGCTGGAAACTGAAAAAAATCCACTGCCCACTTTCCAAAGTTATCAAGACAATTTCATCAAGTTACTGCAACTTTAAACCGATTGACACATACATTTCAGTTTAAATTGCACATAAAATTAAGTTAATGTTATGATCAACATTATTATGTAAACCTAACAACACCAAATAATGTTTGCAACTTAAAAGGTTTAATTTCATAAATAAATTAGAATTTGTAACTTGCAACCATGGTTAGCATCTGCCTAATTTGGCTAGCTTCTAAGTAGCCAATAAATTTGTGTTTGACATCAACAAGATGTTAAGACTATTTGTTCTGTTATCCTATGTTAGATGCATTTTATTATTTGAATTTAGAGTTGTTATTTTCCTGCTATCTGCAATCAGATCAGACCTGTGGTCCGTTTTGGGGTCACGACTAGAGAATAATGCTAATCTCATCTTTTTTTAATAAAGTCACTCACTGATTTGCTGGAACATGGTCTTACGCACTATAAGAATGAACTTCAAAACCAGCGTGACCTGCTTCTGCAACCCTGATTAGGTCAAAATAATATGCTAAAAACTGATTATGGCGTTCGCATTCTTTCTTGAGAAAATGCCTCAGGGCTCCCAAATCAACTTTTCTCTTTTCTCTGGAAAAGCAATGCTATGCAATATCAATATGATGGGAAATTCAAACCTGTCCACACTGATCGCACAGAGGTTAAATATAGACGCTGTACAGAGCATTACATCCATGGTCATTAGTCCATCGCAAAGAGCCACATCCAATGACCAGACACCACCTTGAAACTGGAAAGACAGATGTCAAAAAGAGTATTAATGAGCATTTAGCATAAATGGAGGAAAACAACTGCACACTTCCTTACATCTTCATTACTGCAAATGCAATTCATTTCAAACAGGTAAGCAATTGTATCGAGACAGATGACATTCGGACTGCCCTTGATTCTCTAAACGAGTCAAACTAATCTAATGAGCCTAACAACTAGACCGATTTAACATGGGGGCAACTTGAGGATAACAAGATAAGTGGACTAAAAGAGAAAGAGAATCAAAGAGGAATTTACCTAGAAGCCTATAGTAACTATTTTCAAATATATGAATGTGTGTGTGTGTGTGTGTGTGTGTGTGTGTGTGTGTGTGTGTGTGTGTGTGTGTGTGTGTGTGTGTGTGTGTGTGTGTGTGTGTGTGTGTGTGTGTGTGTATATATTTGGGTGTAATGCATTACTCAGTAATTACTGTAATTTAATTGTTTTTCTTAATTACTGTAAGTTACTTATGATGTAATTGCATTAAATCCTGCATAGACATACAATTCTGAAACAAAAGTGGGATTTAAAGGCTAACGATCAAAATGTAAAGTCTAATATTAAAATGTAGGTTTTTATTGTAACCCTCTCCTTTAAAAACACTGTAGTCAGTCCAAGAATGCAATTTTATATTATATATTTGATAGAATTAAAAGAGCAGTTCCTTGTATATTTCAACTGGTCGAGGTTGATGGGATTTAGAAGGTAATTAATAATAAGTAATGCAATACTTTTTTACAGAGAGTAATTAGTAGGCTACAGTAATCTAATTACACAATTGATGTAATTAGCAGCTAGTAATTTATTACTTTTTAGAGCAAATTACCTAACATGTATGTGTATATATAAAGCCTATATATTATATAAACACAAACTTTTATGTTAGATGTGATTAATCACGATTAATCGTTTTAACATTAATATATACATATATCAATTTTTGCGCAGTGTTGGGTAAGTTACTCAAAAAAGTCATTAGTTAATTAATAAAAAAATAATATTATGAATTATAATACAATCACATCTTCAATTATTAGTCTTTCACACTGCACTATTTAAAACTGGTCATCTATATCTCAGTGATCATACTGATACATCAACCTAATACAACAGACACATATGGTGATAAATGGTTGTACTAAAATAGTAGCCTATACCTAAGAAAACAGTTTTAACGCGGAACCATGTTTGGATCATGTGGACTTCAACAAAACGCGTTACAAAATGAACTTCTATAAACGCATGACTTACCTCTGCATAGACAAACAGGGGTAAAACCAAAACTGCCAGCAGCAGATCTGCCACAGCCAAACTCACAATGAAGTAGTTAGTCGTTGTCTTCAGGGCTTTTTCCTTGTAAACACTAAGGCAGACGAGCACATTTCCACAAATGATCACAATAATTAGCGAAACCCCGAACACGAGCGCGGGAACATTGCGCGTAAAGAGCGCGTGCTGGAGAGAGCTGGTGTTTGAGCTCGAGATGTTGTTCATCGTTCCTGATGCGAGCGAGAACGGCTTCTTCTTCTGGGGAACTTTTCATAAATGTCTCATGTTGTCCTGTCCGCGTTGGTCCATCTCTGTTCATCTTGTGTTGGTCGGAACACGAGCCATCGACTGTACATCAGCAGCTCTGGGTGAGTGTGAGTATGTCGGTCAATCTGCGGTCTCTCCTTAAATAACAGTCGGGTAATCTGGGGGAGTCGCGCGCTGCTCTTCGTGTGATGGAAACTGAAAGTTTTCGAGGTTGAAAAAAAGCAGTATAAACCGCCTAACCAATAGAGACTCGCTTGAGGTCGGTCTGTCAGTCAGTGGCGCTGCTAAAAAAAAATCAGAATTGTGAGATAAAAAGTCGCAATTACCTTTATTATTTTTTATTCTGTGGAGGAAACAAGCTTCCATAATAGAGGAGGAGACTCATTTCACAGGTAGATTTATTTTTGAAAGTCAGTTTCTGAATTCACTCATGATCGATAGCAAAAATATAAAAGAGAGTGTAGGGAAAAGTTACTTTTACAAGCAATGTGTTACACTCTAAAAAAGGCAGGGTCTTTTGCAGCAACCCAAATTTGGGTCAAATATGGACAAACCCAGCCATTGGGTTATATTTTTAAATGCAATTTTTTAACCCAACGGTTGTTTTTGTCCATATTTGACCCAAATTGGGGTTAAAACAACCCAGCAATTTTTAGAGTGTATAACTGTTATTCTCCAAACTAATTGCATTACTAGTTACTTTTTATGGAAAATAATGTTACATTACTTTTGTATTACTTATTAAGTAAATGCAAAGTCATGCCTGTACGGTTAATAAAGTGAGATTAAATACATAAAGTATATGCATTATTTTTCATATTAAGTAAATGCAAATTCATGCCTGTATGGTTAATAAAGTGAGATTAAATACATAAAGTACATGCATTATTTATCATATTTTATCATTGCAGGTTTGCATAATATTCTGAGTTTCCATTTGACTGTTTTTATTCATTATTCAACACACAACTCCCGATTTACTTTAAAATGTAACTCGGATATAGTTCCAAAGTTCCTATAAGTTCCAAATTTAAAGTTGATATCACAAAAATTGAAGTTCCTATGAGATTTTCTTTAGGCGTAATTCCAAAAATAGCCACTGGGCAACACCTACATTCCATTGACATTTTTATCACTTCTATCACAAAAGAGTCTCCAAAAATAGAACCTTGAGTTTGTAATTATAATATGAAATGTGACACCGCCCACTAGGGGGAGGAGCCCACTAAAAAGATATAAAGTGCCGTTTCCATGATAATGTAACGTCTGATTTCACTGTATGTTTTTACTGGATGAATTTTGATATTTTAACTTTTCGAATGATACCTAATTTATGATATTTACTAAAATATGTGATAGGATAAAAAGGCAATTAAAAAAGAGCGGCAAGCGTGTGAGACACTGACAGTTAAGGGGTTTTAAAGTTCCCCTGTGGTGAAAATCAAGCTTTTAATGTTTTTTTATATATCTATGTGATGTTTTTAATAAGCTTTAAGACAAACCATGTGTAAATCATAAGTCGACAGCATTGCTGAGTATTTTCTCCTTAAAACTGCAGTGAACCAAAGACAGTCTCAAAAACACGCTTTGAAATCGCTGGTGTTTCTGACGTCACAAACGACCTTGTAACCAATCAGATCAACGTGTGATCGTCAACCAGTGGATCTCTGAGCTGAGTGAGTGAGTGGAGGCGGGGCTCATTTGCATATTCATAGAACCGCGTATACTAAATGAAGGTGTCGGGTTACTTTCAATCAATGATTGAAATAGAAATACTTTTCAATCTTAAGGCATGAAGACATTTTTTCAAGGAAAAAACATTTGAATATGTAATTTTGTTGATCAAGGATGAGTTTTAAGGAGTAAAATTATTGACTACAGGGGAACTTTAACTAATTGCATTTAATATAAATTAATACTTTTTCATTTAATTGCAAATAACATGCAATTAACACTACATTCAGTTCACACCATTTCGGTAATACTTATTTTTTGTACTCTATTTAAAAGTAAAAAATTATACTTCTTTTTCAGAAGGGTAGAATTGCATGAGGATGAGTAAATGATAACAACATCAATTGAACTATGTGAAGTATTCCTAGATCTCTAGTTTATTAATTTCTAAATTATGGTGCCCAAATTAGGGTAAAGTATGAACAGATGGATTAGGAACTTGATTCAAGTGTGTATTTGTAAACCTATGGCTTAAAAACATGTTAATCCACAGTAATGCATAGTGCAAAAGGGTTTTAGGTTCATTATTCGCTGTTGTTCATTAACATGTAAGGTTCTCCTTCAGCATATGTTTCCTCTGATCATAAACTGCCTGCAGGGAGAACATATATGATATTAATTGGAGTTGACATCACTGTAATCACGTGAAAGATGAAGGTCTACAAGCAGGATTGGTTTAGCTGTCTTAAAAGTAATATAAGCTTTTTCCCCCATCAGGGAAAGTATATCCTCCACTCTTTGTCTGAATACTGGGACTGTAAAGAGTTCATTTTGTTCTCATATTTTCACCTCCATGCGCTCGACAGAGGGTGAAAGTGTAAAGTGAGAATAGCAATCTGAGAGATTGTGGGGGAAGATAAAGAAGAGGACAATTATAGCACATAGTTCATTCAGAAGGGAAATAAAGTATCGGATAACTGGTGGGTAATGAAGATGAAATTTTGTCTTCCTCAAGGTTCTAATAAAAGTACTTTGTTCTTTTTTTACTACTTAATATTTCCACTTTGTAATATGTAGAAAGTTCAACAGATGATGGTTGGAAAATCGGGGTTAGACAGTTTTCCCAGCCATCAGAGCAAATACAGTCTAATATGATATTTTACATATTTGAATAAAAGTTTTACGTACACTATCATAAATTAAATTTCCTTATTTATGTGATAAGACAAAGGCAAACACACACACACACACACACACACACACACACACACACACACACACACACACACACACACACACACACACACACACACACACACACACACACACACACACACACACACACACACACACACACACACATATACACTCACCGGCCACTTTATTAGGTACCCCATGCTAGTAACGGGTTGGACCCCCTTTTGCCTTCAGAACTGCCTTAATTCTTCGTGGCATAGATTCAACAAGGTGCTGGAAGCATTCCTCAGGGAGTTTGGTCCATATTGACATGATGGCATCACACAGTTGCCGCAGATTTGTCGGCTGCACATCCATGATGCGAATCTCCCGTTCCACCACATCCCAAAGATGCTCTATTGGGTTGAGATCTGGTGACTGTGGAGGCCATTTTAGTACAGTGAACTCATTGTCATGTTCAAGAAACCAATTTGAAATGATTAGAGCTTTGTGACATGGTGGAAGTAGCCATCAGAGGATGGGTACATGGTGGCCATAAAGGGATGGACATGGTCAGAAACAATGCTCAGGTAGGCCGTGGCATTTAAACGATGCCCAATTGGCACTAAGGGGCCTAAAGTGTGCCAGGAAAACATCCCCCACACCATTACACCACCACCACCAGCCTGCACAGTGGTAACAAGGCATGATGGTTCCATGTTCTCATTCTGTTTACGCCAAATTCTGACTCTAACATCTGAATGTCTCAACAGAAATCGAGACTCATCAGACCAGGCAACATTTTTCCAGTCTTCAACTGTTCAATTTTGGTGAGCTCTTGCAAATTGTAGCCTCTTTTTCCTATTTGTAGTGGAGATGAGTGGTACCCGGTGGAGTCTTCTGCTGTTGTAGCCCATCCGCCTCAAGGTTGTGCGTGTTGTGGCTTCACAAATGCTTTGCTGCATACCTCGGTTGTAACGAGTGGTTATTTCAGTCACTGTTGCCCTTCTATCAGCTCGAACCAGTCTGGCCATTCTCCTCTGACCTCTGGCATCAACAAGGCATTTCCGCCCACAGAACTGCCGCTCACTGGATGTTTTTTCTTTTTCGGACCATTCTCTGTAAACCCTAGAGATGGTTGTGCGTGAAAATCCCAGTAGATTAGCAGTTTCTGAAATACTCAGACCAGCCCTTCTGGCACCAACAATCATGCCACGTTCAAAGTCACTCAAATCAACTTTCTTCCCCATACTGATGCTCGGTTTGAACTGCAGGAGATTGTCTTGACCATGTCTACATGCCTAAATGCACTGAGTTGCCGCCATGTGATTGGCTGCTTAGAAATTAAGTGTTAACGAGCAGTTGGACAGGTGTACCTAATAAAGTGGCCGGTGAGTGTATATATATATATATATATATATATATATATATATATATATATATATTAAAACTGTTTCTATAAACTGTGTGTTCATAACTTTTGAGTCTCTGAAACAGCAAGTTATTGTGTTATTCTATATATGATGCCTTGTTATTGTTTTCTGTCCGTCTCGTGATATTATTGGCTTAGAATTTATTAAATAATTGTTGTGTTAATTTTTCCAGGCTCAAGGACACACCTGGTTTCTCAAGATGGCAAACAAGTACAAGGTCAAACAAATGTTAGACTTTTTTGATTTTATCCCAATAAGGGCTTAAAGATAAAGTTGTGCCTTTTGAGAATATCATAGTCAAAAACATGCTTGAACCCTATAACTTGCTTTTAAATCACAGAGAAATCATCTCATATTTTATGGTTTCTTAAAAATTACAGTTAAAAAGTGAATTGCATATCAAGTTTTTTAGAGCTTATTTAAGGCCCATTGGTAACACTTTACAATAAGGTTCATTAGTTAACATTAGTTAACTAACATGATCTAACCATGAACAATACATTTGTTACTGTATTTGTTTATCCTTGTTAATGTTAGTTAATAAAAATAAAGCTGTTCATTGTTTGTTGTTAGTTCACAGTGCATTAACTAATGTTAACAATCCCTTAACTGTCACCTGCCCGTATACGGGCAACCTAAATGTACTTCACTATATTACTATTAAATCCTAATCTAGTCATGACAAACTATATATCGTTGGAAAGGTCTAAGACTCCTTAATAGATATTTTAGTGCTGTTTTTTTCTTACAAATTATGTATGAACAGTAATATATGAATTTATGACAAGAGTGCGCCTCAAAAAATCGACGTCATTACAGGAGTTTCAG